ATTGATGAAATGAACAGATACTTTGAAGAAAAGGAGACACTAAAATAGCCAGTACTGATCCTGGAGTGTCATAATGTGAAACCCAGCAATAGTGTTATTCTTTGTTCAGAGTGATATTAGCCTACTAGGGTTTATTCAAAGTCAACATAATTGAAGATATGGGTAACTGCATATATGTTTAAGTGTATAGGATTGATAACCATATTTCTAAGTTTTTGTTGGATAGTTGAAAGAACTGGTTGCAATCTCACTGTTTGAATCCCCACTTTATATGCTCCACTTTAGTATCTTGAATAACTATTTGTAAGAAGACAATCTGTAATCATCAACTAGTGATTTCTTACCGTTTATTTTTTCTTTGAAATTATGTATTATTTCTACCTGTTTTCTGTTTTTTTAGTTTTTCTTTAAATTCAGTTTTAAAAAGAAGACACTACAGTATCCAGTGCTGATCATGGAGTGTCTGATGTGAAATCCAACAATACTATTATTCTTTGTTCAGAACAATTTTAACCTGCTTTAGTTTGTTTAATCTAAACATAAATGAAGGTATGGATAACTGCATGTGTGCTTAAATGTGTAGGATTGACAACCATGTTACTAAGTTTTTGTTGAACAGTTGATTAGAACTTTTTACAGTCTCTCTGTTTGAATTCTCACTTTACATGTTCCATTTTTGTACCTTGAACAACTACTTGTAAAACGACAACATCAACTAGTGATTTCTTACTGTTTTTCTCTGAACGTATGTACTATTTCTACCTATTTTCTGTTTTGTTTAATCTTTCTTTAAAAAAAAAAAAGAACTTGTGCAGGACCCAGGCATGGGACACAAGCGTGTAGTCCTGGCACTCAGAGGCTGAGGCAGAAGGATTACATACAATTCAGAGGCTGGAATGAGCTACATAATGAATTCACGGCCAGCCCAAAACTTTAATGGAGACTGAATTAAAAAAAAAAAGAAAAAGAAAGAATGAAAGAAAGAAAAGGTATATTTTTTTTTTTAGCCCTTTGAAAACTCCCTACAGGTTATGGACACATTTAGAGCTAAAAGAAAGTTTCAGTCACTAATATTAGCATGTCATAATAAATTATTAATCACAGTAAAATGTTAGAAATAGTCCCTTGACAACAATGGTCTTTGCTGTACTTTTGGTATAAAGGCCTCATCTTAGTTGCTTTTGGCATTGCTGACACAAAATACTTGACATCCAGAATTAAAGGGGGAAAGCTCTATTTAGCTCACAGTTTGTAGAGGTTTCAGTCCATAATCTTCTGGCTCCATGGCAGAGTGGTGTAGCAGAGGGGCAATGGTTCATGGCAGCAGAAGATGGCAAAAGCAACAACCGAAAAAGGGGAAATCAAGCCTCTTTCTGTCCCTTTCACCTTATCCAGACTTCTGGATTAGGGCAGTGCCAATCTAATCAGCGCAGTGACCAGATATCACACAGTTTTAATCCCAGCACTCATAATCCCAGCATTGCACTGTGAATCAGTCACTAACTCTAGATTCAGCAACATCTGAGAAAGCCTGCCCTCTATGACTACGTGAGGTTTTGGGGGACATCTAGACACAAACCGTAACAGACCTCATCATGTAAAATGCATGAAATGTAGAAGACCTTTTTTAGTTACTAGGAATTGAATTCAGGGCCTTTAAACTGAGATACACCCCTTGGGCTTCTTTTCTTTTCTTTTTTTTTTTTTTTGTATCAGGGATCAAACTCAAAACCTTGTGCTTGCCAGGCAGGCACTTACACCACTGAGCTAAATCCCTAGCCATTTTTTTTTTTAATTTTTATTTTAAGACAAGATCTGGCTAAACCACTGAGTATCCGAGGGTGGGCTCCATCTCTCAGCCACCCAGAATACTGAGATTACAGGCATGAGCCAAGCCCAGATTTAAAATGTTTAATAAATGTTTTCAGGGTCAGGTAATATAATTATATACTACTTTTCTCAGGAAAAATATATTTGTAAAATTAAGAAATGAAGCAGAAGAATGAGGCAGACACATTGGGAAATGCAAGTAAGGTCTCAGCACTCATCTGGTGATAGTATTTGTGACACTGACAGTTTCTGTTTTCAGATTGGTGGCCAACACACTTGAGTTGATGGTGAAAGTGAAGGTGTGAGTCTCTATACAGAGCTAAAGAGATGACAGATGAAAGGGCACATAAACTACAGTGCGAACAGGGCTGGGGAGAAGCTCAGGGACACAGCACGTTCTCAGCATGCACTAGGCCCTGGGCTCAACCTCCAGCATTTCAAAAACACCCCCCCCCCATAAAAGTGTTAACGAGGCATGGTAGCACAGCTGAAATCCCAGCATCCAGGAGGCTAAAGCAGGAAGATCGCAAGTTCAAAGCCAGTCAGGACTACATAGAGAATTCCAGGCCAGGATGGAGTACATAGTGAGACTCCATCAAAAAACAAAGGAAATAACAAATGAATGGGTAGGTAAGTGGGCAGGGGATCAGAAACAGCAGCTACTCCTAATAGTAAATTTTAATTTGAGATGCACTGTTTCCCGGGTGAAGCAAAATCTGACGAAAATAAGAAAATAAGCACTATATCAAATTTTAGAACTTTACTGGTCCTTGAGAATTTCTAGTGCTATCGAGAAATCATATATGATAAGCCTAGTTAATAGTAATCTTCATATTATCTTGAAATAATGTTGACAGCTAACGTGTGTGCTGGGGCTCACTCTGTACCAGGCATGGTTCTAAATATTTTTCTGCGTTTTAAATCATTTTATTCTCTCAGCATCTCTATGGGCTGCAAGTGTAGCTCAACGGCATGCACAAGGGCCAGGGTTCAATTCCTGGCACCATAAAACAAAATTAAAAACAAGACAACTTTATCACAAGCATAATTATTTCTCCAGTGCATCATTCACAACTGAGGAAACAAAAGAATTCAACAACTCATGCAAAGCCACTCAGCCAATACTGAGACCAAGACTTCGGCCCAACAGTCTGCTTTTGAAGCTGTGCTGTAACCACTGCATCACTGGAGCTGCCTTGGTCCTAGGACTACTGAGCACCCAACACTGGCTGGAAAGACTTGAGATGCACTGGCAGTGTGTATGTAGATGTGATTTCAAAGACACTGTACAGGAAAGAACACAGATCTCTCACTAATATTTTATATGTAGCAAAATTGAAATATTTGGAGTATATAAGATTAAATAGGATATATTATGAAACTTAATCTCATCTCTCTCTCCGCTTTCTTTCTTTTTCTTTTTTTTTTTTTTTTGGCATCAGGACTCCAACTAAAGGCTTTGTGCTTGTCAGGCAGGCGCTGAGCCACTCCCTGGCCCTCTGTCTATTTTCCTGGCCCTCTACATCCCTGGCCCTGTCTATTTTCTTGAATGTGGCTACTAGAAATTTCTAAGTGGCTTAAGTAGCTCACATTATCTGCTGGGCTGGACAGTGCAGGGTGCTTCATGGTGTCCTGCTTCTGCCTCTGTGTGTCTTATCTATGCAGGTGACAGTAGTATAAGTAGATCTGAAGGGAAGTCACAGGGACAGAAGCAATGGAGCTCCTTGGTGGGTTCATGAGTATCCCACCACTTCCAAGTTAAGGTCGAGTTTGTCAGTTCCAGACTCAACCTCCTTCCCCAGTGGCTGCTGGAGAAGCTGAATAAGAAAGGAAAAGGAATGGAAGGAAAGGGAAGGGAGGGAAGGGAAAGGAAGAGAAGGGGGGGGGGGACTGAGAGCCAGAGCCCTCTAGGATAATCTGTCCCTTAGGAAAATCTTCCAAAATTCTGCCTTGATTGAGGAAGCAATACATATGGCAAAACATGGAAAGAAGAAGAAATCAAAACAAGTTCCATTTCATATATCTGACACTCCTCTGCAGCCCATTTAGGCAATTTACTCATGAGCAGTGTGTACATGTGCGCCTGTGTGTACCATGATGCCTATTTCACCAGCCTTTTGGAAATAATGCTGGGTCCCGTCAGGTTTAGTTAAACGAAGAAGATAGAAGCCACTTGCTTAACTGCTCAGGGCCCTGCATGGGATTGAACCCTGACAGCATCCTCACTTGCACTATGACCATAGTGGAACAGCTGCAGCTCCCCACATAACTAAGGCAGGAAGAAGCAGACGTGAGCGAGCCCATCACTTCTCTCACTGTACTCTGCATCCCCAGCACTCGTGGGCACAGGCCCCCAGTTTCCTCACCTCACCTTGTATTATGAGAATTAAGAATCCAGGTGAAGTAGGCTGCTGTCATCTAGCTTTTCCCACCTCCACACTGAGACCAAGGATCTCCACATTTTTGGGAGGAAAAATAGTGTATCCCAACCCTGTCTTGTAGGAAGAGATGGATAAGCAAATCAGAGTTAGGAACTTTAGAGTCTGCACAGTTCAAAGGAGAGAGAGAGACAGAGACAGAGACAGAAAATGTTCTGCCTGAGGCACAGATGCTCTGACCCTCCATCCCAGGAGTCTGTTCTCTGGATCTCCCCTTGCCTGTGCATAGGCACAGGCCTGGCCTGAGAGCTCCAGTGTGTGTGTTCCAGGAAATTTGGCCATGGTCTCCTGCTGCATTACTAGTAGCCAGCAGGTTATAGGTTGAAAGTACGCTGGAAATTCTCAATGCATTTTATAGTCAGCTGACTTTTTTGGATGACACATAGATGATTGTGGCATTTTTGGCAAGAGCTTGGAGAGCTACAAGAGTATCCTGAGGAAAACAATCCAGCATGTGCCCTCTGCTTTGTGAGCCACAGGAATGACCTTAAGCAATTCTATAGCTCAAAGAGGGTTGCTGTTATCCAGCCTGGATGGTGCCTCTTCTAAATCCCCGGACACCCACATTCACCTCCCTGGGGAAGCTAACCTAGAAACTGTAGCATTTTATGTGCACAGAAAATCACTAACAAACTATTATTGAACATCCACAGGTCACTTGCCTAATTATTAAATCCATATTCAGAAATCAAAACCAGCTTCAAAAGAGTTATTGCTAGAAGTAAGTGGATATGGTGTGGTAGTTTCTTTCTTTGTTAAGTTTTCAAAAGGGTCTGACTCTACAACATACACTGTAAGGAGCTAGCAAAAGCTTAAAAACTGAAATATCTCTCTTGAGCTTTTTTTGTATCAGATAGTGGCTCTCACAATCTATCTCATAAGTTTAAGTCCTGGAGCACTGGGATACCAAGCAAACCCCCACCACCACCACGGTGAGCGGCTGTGAGCATGGCAGGCTCCAGTGGCCCAGGACGGGAGCCATGCGCATTTACTGGGACCGTTCCATGCTGGGACCTGGAGGGCCGGAAAACCAAGCAACACCACCACCACCACCACCCAGTGAGGGGCTATACGCATGCCGGTGTGCAAGCTGAGAATCAAACATCACATCACACCCCCAGGCCTTCTCCACTTAGCAAGTGGGAGCCAGTGATCTGGACATCCCTTAAGAGGTTGACCATAGGCAATGTAGCAAATAGGGATTTCCTTCTACTATCTCTTTGAAGGCAAATATTTTTATCCTTGTTTTGCTTTGTTCTAATTAATGGTGTTATTTTAACCTGTTTTGTTTTGTTGAACTTCAATATACATGAAAGTATGGACAGCTATTTTGAAGAGAATGAGACTCTACCGACAGCCATTAGTGACTTCTCTATTGTCTGGTTATTGTCTGGTATTGTCTCATTCTGTTCAGATCAGTTTTATACTATATTGTTTTGTATGAATTCTCTGTATGCGAAGACATGCACAACTATTTGGAAAAAAACAAGAGACAATATGATAGTGAAGATCTCAGGTCATCTAGCTTTGAAATTTGTATCTCTTACATTGCTTTCTTATGTCCTATTTTGTTCTGTTTTGTTGTGTTTAATTTTAGCCCTCCCCCTTTGTTTTTTGTTTTTTTTTTTTAAATTTTTATTGGTGCCAGGGATCGAACTCACAACCACCTGCTTCCAAGGCAGGTGCTTAGGCCGCTGAGCTAAATCTCCAGCCCCTTTAGCCTCTTTAAAAAAAAGAAGTGCATAACGTTTCAGTATATATTTTATAGCTCTATTATTTGAGGAAGAAACAGCAATAACTTGATAGCCCTAGAAATTTTATAATCTATGAAGATTTTTCATTTTGTTTTGTGGTTTGTTTTTCTTCTCTGGTACTGGAGATTGAATGCAGGATCCTCATAGTGAGCTATATCCCCAGGCCATTTTTTATTGTTAATTTTGTGATGGGGACTCAGTAAGTCACCAAATTTCCCAGACTGGACTCAAACTTGAGATCATCCTCCTTCAGCATTTTACAGTACTGATATCACTGTTTGTAACACTGTAGGTTTGTAACACTGTGCCCATCTATAAAGTGATTTACGGTATGATAAACTTCTATGTCAAAGTTGGAAAGGTTATTCAGGATCCTTGGGAAATCTTTCCTTGCAGGACAAGGACCCATTACACCAGGTGAAAAGCTTTTCTTCATCTCAGAATAAGGCAAACTGAAGGAGCATGGTATTATATAATTTTAAGTGTTTCACTCTGAAACTATGACTTATATAAGTCACAATTAAGACAAAGAAAATTAAATGTTCAACAAAATTGTTACATGTTGCTCTATGAGAATTTCTACATGAAAAATATCTCCTACAGAAAAAAATAATCCCACTTTTTCATATTCCAAGTGGAAAAATTGTAATTAGACAACATCACTATTCTATAAATTAGGAAGACAGGTGGCCTACCCTGGGGAAGCCATGAATAAGATACACTTGTGCAGCCTCCCAACCTATAAACAAACTGCAAACAGAAGCCAGGGGAACTTTATTATTTGAACATACTTAGGTCAAAGCACAGAACCTCAGGTCTGCTCAAACACTAAAGTAAACAACATGTGAGGCATGACTTTTTTTGTCTTTTTCATTTTTGTCGGTACCAGGGATCGAACTCATGACTGCCTGCTTGCAAGACAGGCACTTACACCGCTGAGCTAAATCCCCAGCCCCGGCATGACTTCTTAATAGCCAAGGATTGCTTGAAAAATATCTCTGAAAAACATCTGTCACTGAGAAGGTTAAACATTTTACCGACTGTTTCTTAAAAAATATTATTATGTATTTTAATTATTTAGGGCTGAGCAACAAGGGAGTCTTTCCTGATCAAAAATCTCCCCGAGGATTGGGGAAAATAGCTCAGTGGTAGATCAAGTACTTAGCATGCATCAATCTCCAGCACCACAAGATTTAAGAAAGTAAATAAAATGTTAAATTCCCAACGCACATGCGCGCACATGCACGCAACCCCCCCACAACAATTCTGAAATAAAGTAGCATAGTACCATATCATTTTTAAAAATCTGACAGATCATTGTTATACTCAAATTCAGTGCTCTTAACATCTTTAACAGACATTCCCATTTATTAAAATCTAAGAGTCGGCACCAATCATGGACTGCAGAGGCAAAACCAGGCCCCATGGCAGAGATCCCAGCCCAAAAACCAGCACCATGCACGCGGCCACTGCTAGTTTAGAGAGAGAGCCAGACCCAAGCCTCTTCCCATGAGTCAGGGCCACTTGTGGACTGTGGAGAGAGATCCAAGCCTCATGGGAGGAGAGGAGATCCCCATTCAGAAACTGTATCATTTTCACTTTTTTGTTGGGTTGGGTTTTTCTTTTGTTTTGTTTTGTATGTTAACTCTTTTCTTTTTTTTTTTTTTTTTTTTTTTTGTGCCAGGGATCAAACTCAGGACCTCGCTGCTAGGCAGGTGCTTACATCACTGAGCTTAATCCCAAGCCCGTGTTTTTGTTAACTCTGATAGCATGAGCATGTATTTAAAAGATAGCAAGACATGTTATGGAAGCCATGTACTCACTACTGGCTTGTTTTGATGTTCTTCATTGCATTCATTGTTTTGTTTTTATTGTTTCTATTCTATTCTGTTCTGTTCGATTTTTAATATGTTCAAAGTTGGATTCTGCAGTTATTTTGAAGACAACAAAGGCATTATCATAAGTATTGTTGATTTCATAAGGTTTGGAAGTCCTGTATCACTTACTCTGGTTTATTTTGATTGATTTTATTTTCCTTGGTTTTACCCTCTTTTAAAAAAAAATCTGTTCCCTCTCCCAGGGCTAATTTATATACTACAGCTTCAGAAAGTTGTATGCTACATGCTTAAGTATCCTCAGTGAAGTGATTTGTATCTGGTACATATTTAATGGTATTTTCAGAACAAATGTACTAATGGCTTCTAATGTAATAATGGAATAATGTGTTTTTATTTTGCTTTGTTTTCATTTTTGTACTATGCCGGAGACAGGACATATGGCCTTTCTTGCTGCCAGGCAAGTATATTATACTGAGCTACACCCTCAGCCCTCAAAATAATTTTTTGATGGCATCTGAATTTATCATATAATCTTACTGGCTTTGTTCTGTATCACCACCTTATTAACCAATTTCCCTCACTCCAACTCGGACAATGAAATAATCTCTCGATCTTTTCAAGCACACCAAGTGCCATAGCAATCCTTCTGAGCAAAGTTAAAGAAACATTCAGTGCCCCTGGGAATCAGCACAAACCCAAGCCTCCACAGCATCCACCCCAGGTTTAGCTTCAGCCAATCAGTTCCCAATAGCCATCCAGCATTTCTGCAAATGTTCTCTTCCTTATTCCTTCAGGCCTCTAGAGTGCTGCTCCTTTGTGAAGACTTTTCTTACTCCTGGCCTGGGGATGTCACTCAGTGGTAGGGTGCTTGCCTAGCACATGCACAGCTCTCAGTTTGATCCTCAGTTCTACAAACAAAACAAAAGACTCCTCTTATCCCTCAAGTAGGTAAACTCCCTCTGCATTTTGGAATTCAATATACCTTTGCACTTTCTCATGGTGTATAACCAAATCCTGCTTCATGATATCTGAGATGTGTTTCAGCTTCCCTTCTACACTGAAAACTCTTTTTTTTTTTTTTTTTTGGTACCCGGCGTCAAACTCATGACCTTGTACTTGCCAGGCAAGAGCTTGTGCTGCTGAGCTAAATCCCTGCCCAACACTGAATGAAAGCTTTTTAGAGTACAGAGAGATCTTATTAGCTTTCCAGGACCTTTAATAATAGAAGCAAGTATGTTCATAAACCTTGCTTGTTTTGTTTTGTTTTTGAGACAGGCTCTCAAGGCTGGCCTTGAACTCACTATGTAGCCCAAGATGGAGAACTTGCAGCAATCCTTCTGCCTCTACCTCCTAAGTGCTAGGATTACAGGTATGTGTCACTATTCCTGGCAAACCTCATTTGTATGTTTACAGATCTCATAATGGGCTTTCTAATTTATTAATATATGAACTTAGCCATGATTATATTCAGTATGTCCTATTTACATGTAAAAGCATGTATCTCATGATGTTTTACATCATGAAAGAAATAATGTGAAAGAAAATTAAATGTATTTTGGTACTATTATTATTTTCTTTCTTTTTTTTTTTTCTCACAATGCATCAGATTGGCCTTGAACTCACGGTCTCAGTTATCATTTTTTATTTAATTTTTATTGTGCCTCAGCCTTCTGAGTGCTGGAATTATAGGTATGCACCACCATGTCCCCAGCTCACCCTTTATTATTTATGTGAACATATGACCCAATTTTATTAATCCTTCCATAAGTTTTTCATATACTTTTAGTCCTCTCTATAGAACTACAAAGACATGGAGGATAAGGACAATATTTTTTCTGTCTCTGTTCAGGATCTAAGCCTGCCTAGTGAGTGGCTGTAGGACAGCCTGCTTACTTGGGTGGAAGAGAAGCCCCCTAATACATTCTGTTGCCTGGCCACCCAAGTTACTACGCTGGTGGCCCTGGCTGTCACTTTTTGGATCAGGCTGGTAGTGCTGAGCTGGGCCAACAAATCCTACTCTGTAAATTCCACATTGATAGCCTGAGGCTCAGACTAAGGGCTGGTATCTGGTGACCAAGCAGTTTCTGGCTTTAGATTCTGCTGTGCAGAAAGAAACGTCACTAGAAGGCTTTGGAAAGAACTGGCTTTCTCATTTCCACCTTGTAAATGTAGCATCTTCAAGTAGAGAATGTACCAACCAAGAATTAATCATGGGTTAAAAAAATGTATTTCTCAGAATCAGCTGATTAATTGGCTTTGAGGCAAATGCAAGATTTTGC